TCAATCGTTCCATTTCCTTGTCCAGATCCGCGGAAACATGGGCCCTGTCGACCATACTTTTGCGGCTGTACATACATACCTGTCTGCCATTCGTTGCCTTCAGCGAGTGTCAGCCAAGACGGCTTGTTGAGCCTTGGGCAGACGCATGGCCCGATTAAGCCGCCCTCATAGCCCATCGTATGGCTTGTGGCCTGGACCAGTATCTGTTAGGGCTGAATCGGAAATTACTCAGCTCGGAGTAAATTGTTTAGCAAAGTCACAGTAGGATAGTATCCTGTCTACCGTCCCGGATCCAATGGTTGTCCTTCTCAGGATGACGGCGGACGCGGCCAGCCACATCGCCGGCCGACTCTAGCATATCTCACTATCTCGTAGTGCACCTCATGATATGCAGTTAGTTGTCTTGATGTGTCAATTAAGCGCTGCCCCTTTTCTTTGCGGGCCCGAATTCCCCCTTGCTTCTGTTTGGATAGACCCAACCGTGGGCAGAACGTATGCATTCAATGACAACCTAGGTAGGCAATGAACGCTATCTCATAGACCGAAAGAAAACATCTAGCATGAATAGTAGTAAACTTTAATTGAGCCTGGCAATATGCGTTCAAGCGGGAGTTGAGCCCGTTGGTGTGTTGGAAACTTGAACACCTGGTGTGATTCCTCAAGTCCTGATCAGGCCCACAAGCTGAAACAGAAGCTGCCTTGGTTGGATCTTGGTTCAGCCTTGGTAGGCTCAGGCTTGATCTGCCCCCAGGTCGCAATTCGAGAACTTTCGTAATGGTGAGAACATCTTGGAGTGAAGTACCTATGCTGCCGTATGGCGTATCACAAACCACGTCTGGAATGGACATCAAGTGGCCGCCTTTGAGCCTCATGCAGGTCGGGTAAGCCAAAGGATGCCCAAATAAGGCGTCTGTGGCGAGCTCGCCTCAGACTTGGTCAAGCAGACTTGATGGCTCAACGCAGCTTGCAATATAGGATGAAGATTATCAAGGCTGCCCGCCGTGCTAGCCCCAATCTCGCTGTTGTCGGTCGGCCGAATGCTGCTACTGGTTGTAGATTTCTGGTGGATCTTCCAGAAACACAGTTCTGGTGGATCTCGCGAGGAAATCTGCCGTAGTGAAGCCTGGACAAGGTCAATGGCGTCAATGGCGGCCCCAGTAAGATGACTGGAGAACGACCGTTGTCCTGATGTTGTCAGCCCCATCCATCTTCGGGCAATCTTTATATGTAACTCACAGTTAGGACAGTCAATGTTGGCTCCCAAAGCCCACCGGAGGAGCAAGCCTCGTCTTTGAGCATGCTGATGCGGGGACAGCAAGAGCACAACGGCACAAGAGCAAAATTGACAAAAGCCAAAACGACGGACAGGGCAAGCAACTGTTGATTGATGGCTTTCTGGTGTCCCATGGCAATATGCACTATGGCGTATGGGTAGAGTAAGGTGCGGGAGGGAGACCAGGGGCTAAGAAGAAGCAGGTGTTTGTTGATCCAGGGCTTGTGTGGATTGTGTCAATGGAGCATGCATTCTGTTCCTGACTGTAAAGAATCCTTGGTACGGCACGCGGTACTTCTTCCTTCGTACAATATAGAGGCGGCCCAAAGTACTCCGGGCCTAGGTACCTTCCTTCAAGCCGGGCTTTGCCTTCAATGTTGCTTTGCCTTGCCTAAAGAGGTGCCTATCTGGGCTGCTTCATTATGTATGCCTGGGACAAGTGCCCACTTGATCGCTCGGAGCATTTGGATGCTCTCACCGCAATGAATCCAATTGGAACATTGAAATACACCAAAACGTCGACCAAAGCCTGCGGGCGAGTGTAACAATGGTTTAACGGCCCTGACCCCATGGCCGGCCCTTCAAGGTTCAAGGCACTTCGACCCGGTTGCCCAATTGCGCAAGCTGATGGATGGCTGGCCAGCTGCTGCGGACTCCCTCCGACTTCAGTCTCAAGTTCGTACTTGGTTCTGGGTATTCTGTGCTTCAAACTTGACTTCCAGGCCCAGTGCGGAGCAATTACTGTCACCCAGGCATGCTCTATGCCTTCCAGTGCTGGTAATATACCAGACTAGTTCGTATGTGCACCAAGGGAGCTCATTCACATGCGCACCCCTCGTGAACTGTCCCATCCAGATGATCCAGATGCCACCCTCCCATCCGTCCTGTCTGGTTTTCCAAAGCTTGGGCCCTGGTACCCATCAAGCCCCATGTCCTGAGACTTTGCCGAGGAGCTTCCCGTCACTCGCTTCCTTGTCATTGCATGCACGAGTTTTGGGGTTCAGCCAGCCAGATATTTTGGGCAAGCCAGAAGATCCCAGCCCAGAAAATGCCAGCCCCGGCCCCATGGCTGGCACCAAGGTTTGGCCCCTGGCGCCAGCATGGTCATCAATCATTTGATGGTTGTGCGGAACTTCAGCGCCCTGTGCCCAGGTGCCCTTTTCTGGCACTCACCGGAGGTGGCACTACATGTGCTATTGTCCTTTGGGCGAGACTTCATGACCTGTTCTCCAAGCTCGAGGCAGACCTTCTGACTCGGGTGAAGGGATGATAGTCGGTAGGAGCGGAGGCCGTGGCGCGTTCCAGCTATCTTGGTAATTCTCCAGGACTTCGCCTCTTCATCCATCGCAGCAATCCGCATTTGGGTTAATTCAGGACCTTACAGGAGCTGCTAAACTGTTTGGTCAATTCCTAGCCATACAACCTCCTCTTGGTCTGCCCGAATGCAGGGCAAGCTTGGAATCTTACCCACCGCCAGGCGCGACTGAGCTGGCGGTTGCACAGAGAGGGGACAAGAAGAAGATATCAATACCATACGCCCTTTACCAGCTTTCCCGAGATCCATTCAAGCACCTATCTAGGTACCTACTTGGTAAGTACCTAGGGGTGCTAAGCTGCCAGATAATCCGTACAGACACCATCTAAATACCTACCTAGGTAGTTGAGTCCTCGGTCCTGGAACTTTCTCGCCTGGCTGCCGACCACGCGGTGGCCAGCTGCCCCGTTGGCGTTCCTCTGACTACGCCCATTGGTCTCCTCTCACATAGGTACCATGTAGTTACCGTGGCATATCACAAAACTGAGTAAAGGCGGATGTTATGGCCTAAAGCCACCGCAAACCTCACATACTTAAGTATGGATGTGGAGTACGGAGTAAGGGTTCCATAGTCGGTCGCTTAGAACGCGTGGTGCGAGGTAGCGAATAAATACCAGGCCACAGAAACTGGTGCTACCATGCGTTACAATCAGCCCAGAACGGATATGTCGCTCTTTCTAGGAGTTCGGAATGATTGTGTGCGTGGTGCGTCTCAGCAACTGTAAAACTGTTGAACATCTCTTCGAAACTAAGACTACCTTGGGTGGATATTTAAAGATAGAGCTGCATGTAAAGAATGTGCACACCTAGATGCTCTATCCAACCCCTTCAGGCTCATACACATCTCAACTATGGAACGTCCATATGTGCAGTGCAGTCTTGTTGGGAGCAGCACGAATGACGGCCCCCTCGACCCCTCCTCTCATTTTTGCTCTTTTCGACACCGCCGACAGTTCTGCTTCTAAGCGGCCTACCATCAGCCCTGCAGCAAGCAACTCGTTGTCCCGTCTTTTGGATCCTTCTCTCTCTCGCTTGTGACCCTATCGACTGTATGTGCCGGAGTACTACCAAGAACTACAGCGACAGCACCTGGACAAGACGCCTGGCCACACGCGCGGCCTCGACGTCTAAGGGCATGGGACCGAATGCCTTGCCAGTTCCGCTAGTTGGTGTCAATCGTTGAGTCGCACTGATAAACCGGCGGTAACAATCAATGCAAACGACACCTAGAATAGCAAATGCATGATACATAACAACTGGCAGACCCAAGCCAATGGGCAACGGCAGCGAGCCGAATGAGGCGATGTTTGTCGAGTATTGCAGGTACATGCACACACTGGACCCTCGTTGGCTCCTAAGAGACACAAAAATCTATAGCCCTGTTTACCTACCAGCATGTAGATACTTGGCACCGAGTACTTCAGGCATGGGAACCCGAGGACGTGATTCAACAGGCGATGGGGGCGTGGATTGCCCGACTTACGATGTCGAGACTGGAGGTGGAGGTGAGGGAGTGCTGTGAGTTCTGCGAGGTACGAGGCAGGATGCTGGTACGCTTGGCCACTCGGGCAAGTACCTTGGTACCTAGGTCCCATGGGACTGGGCACTTACCCGCCAGCGCTCTTTCCCTGCCCACCGGCCCTGCACTTGCCCTGCCCGTCGTCCACTTTTCCATTGCACACACCTAGTCCCCTCTACTGCTACACGCACTCCCTCTGGTACACTTTGCTGGCACGCCCCATTCACCAGGTCGTCGTCACCACACGGGGTCCCATAGCAAAGCCTCCACCTGCTCACTTGCGTACTCCGGAGGCAACAAAAACGAGCCACAGCCCTCGACTACGGAGTACCAGCCTTGGAAACCTTATCCGTCAACTGGTCCCTTCGCTGTTCACTTATACCAGACCTTATACCCGCACGCTCTTCTTCCTTGGATTCGCGTCCTCTCGCGGGTTGTTAGTCTTGCGGTCAAGTTTATTTAGTTGTTTGCTTTCTCCATTCTTCTTTCTCCTGTCCATACCTTTACCCTGGTTTTCTTGTTTTTTTTTCTTTTTCTTTTTCTGCTTTTCGCTTCCAATACGGATCAAGGGTCTCGCTGCCACCACAATTGCCCTGGTCTTGCGTTTGAACCAAACAAATACCCTCTCGCCATTGCCACCCAGAAGCCTCCTCTTCCACCGAGTCATAAATTGGCCTTCAAATCCTGCAAAAAGACGACTCACACAACGGCCCCTGGCGGGCGTGTTCACTCATCAATGATAGTGCTTGCCGTATCACTTTGTCCTCCGAACCCCATTCGTCCGCCTCCTTCGGCCTTCAGCCAGCCTCTCGACCGTTATCTGTCAACCGTACGATCCGGTACTACATAACCCAAGGCTGAGGCCGTAAAGCGAAAAGGCTTGATCAACTACAATGGCTTTCCCTCCACAGTACCGGGAGCCTCCTCCTAGTCTACCGAGCATCCTGTCCTCTGGTCCTGGACGTTACAACCTACACCACGACATGCAATTTTCCGGAAGTCCAGCAATTTCTATACCTGGGCTCGATCCGAAAGACGACGTCCCTCCTCCTCTACCTCCACCGCGCCATCTTCCATTCTTGGAGGGTCCTGCTAATCCCGAAGACTCGAAGAAGGAATCGCTCGACTGCAGCCGCTTCAGTTCATCTACACACAGCGGGCACAGCGGGTATGGCAGCATGCACCCAGGGTCATTTATGGACGAGAGACCAAGTTATAAGAGAAGAGGCACTGGAAGTAGCACCAATGGCGACGAGGGCTATGCAAGCTACACTGCAACTGAAAGGTTTGTGGCTGCTGCAAGTCATGAGTAAGACTTGACAAAAATAGACGGCTGCAATGGTATCGTCGACACACACTGACTTTATCACCAGTACTCGGGATTCTCGACCCACCGAATTCTTGCACCACAGCAAGTTTCACTTCCAGACCGCAGCTGATTTGCATGGCGATAGCATGAAGAAGAAGTTAGATCCGATCCGCACATTCGACAGGTCGCCTCGATCAGCAACATCCTCAGCCTTGAGTGAGCAAGTACGACGACAACCTGACCGTCGAGCTCCGACCCTGAGCATGCCTGTCCAACTGCCTATTCACACCAGATCCCTACTAGACTCGCCTGCCAGAATGACGGATACGCCTATTTTCTCTGCTGTTTCTCCCCGATCTGCTCCATTTCGACATTTCCCTGGGGACCATCGTTTTGCCAAGGATGGATCAGATTATGACCAATCACCAAGAGGTCGTTCACAGCGAAATAATAGCGACGACGCATCCTCAACTCAAGGCAGCTATGAGTTTACTGGCGTAGAAGATATGGAGATGGACGAGGCCACATCACCGAAGAGGCTTCACCCAGACGAAGCGTATGCCACCGTTGGCCACAAGCGAAGGGCAGCCAGTCCTCCAGCAGGAGGTTCTTTACTCCACGGAGGCTCGAGTGATATTCGTCGACGAGAACTTGGTTCCCGTGGCTCTCCAACGCCTCGGCTCACCATCATGCCACAGGCTTCGTCTTTATCATCCATGTCCTCTGCGGCTATCTCTCGCTCCAATTCTTACATTTCCACTATGTCCATACCCCCGTCAAGCGCAACCACTGCAACATCGTTCAGCCGCCGATCTCCTGGTGCTGCCTCTCCCGGTGGTGTCTCACCTACGTCTTGCAACTCGCCGTACACAATGCCCGCTTCATTGAACCATAGTCCTCGAAACTCCGTCTCAGGCAGAAGTCATACACATGGACGCACCATCTCCGGAACAAGCCCGAGAAAGCTAGCAGATATTCAAAAACCTGCGGGCTCTAAGGTTCAGCGAGTTTTCATGTGCGAGTGTTGCCCTAAAAAGCCGAAAAAGTTTGACACGGCGGAAGAGCTCAGGTATGTCTCTCGTCTCCTGCTTCGTGAATGCTGGGAGTTTTTTTTTTTTTGTTCTCCTGGTTCCGTTGTATTCAGTGCCCCCTTGTGTGTCTAGCAATACTGACAGACCACACAGTGCTCATGAGGCTGAGAAACAGTATGAATGTTCATTCTGTGGCAATCGTTTCAAGAACAAGAATGAGGCTGAGCGACACCAGAACTCGCTCCATGTTCGCCGACATTCATGGTCATGCTCAGCACTATCCGGCTATGATCGTGCATTTCATGATTCGACGAGCCGTCCTGGGGAAGCTGATACTTGCGGCTACTGTGGTGAAGAGTTTTCTCGCTCAGGTAGAGGACCTGGTAATGGGTCTTTGTCCAGAGGGATTGTCCCAAAACATGCCACGGATCAAGACTGGGATGATCGTATCCGTCACCTGCAAGAAGTTCACAAATTTCGCGAGTGCAACTCCTCCAAGAAATTTTACAGGGCGGACCATTTTCGGCAACATTTGAAACATAGCCATGCGGGAACTAGCGGTAAATGGACAAATATGCTTGAAAATGCATGTATGACGGATGAAGATCCTACACCGCGATGACCAGCATGCTGCTCAATTTTTTTTTCTGACGACTAATATTCCCAACAATGAACGGCACTTTCTGCAACCAACGCGAGGGGTTGAGTGTGGGAATCATGCATCTGTATTGCGCCATATTGCACAATACATGACATAGTACGACGCCACGATATCTGTTTGATTTATATTTTTATGGAGTTCCGGTGGACAACTGGACTGCAATGGTAATTGCGGTCCAGACTGAAATACAAAATGCGAGATCAGGATTGGACACTTCAGTTTCAGCGTCTGACGACTTAAAGTAGACCAAGTTTTCCTTCAGGTTGTCCATCATTGTGTTAGCACCTCGAACAATTTTGGCAGGTTCCGACGAGACATGCCTGCAAGAGCAAATAGATGCGGTTATACTGACGGAGGAGGCTTAACATTCGGCCGGTGTGACCGACTACATTTTGCCAGCTTTTACGTTGCTTTCGGATATTCCCGTCAGTCATTGTTCACGCAGCTCTGTGGCTTCACTAGGCTCTAATTTTCAACAACACCCTGGGTTTGCGCTAGGCGGCAATGGAAAAGATTCGTCTTGGAGCTTGCCGGCACTTGCTGCTTGCTGCATCCTTGGTTTTCTCCTCGTTCTGCAACCGAACTGAGCGCGTGTGGCTTGCAGTTTGGGGTGGACTGAAGCGGCTGATCCTTGTCTACGCATGGCGCCGGGCCAACCGGCTGCTGACGCACCTAGAGTGTGGAACAGACCGGCGAGTCAGATCGTGTCTGGCATGAACCGGTGTTGTCATTGGTTGGGTCCTTGTTCTCCCTATGTCACATTATACCCAAGCGTGCGAAACGGGCTGCCAGCGTCGCCCTTGGCAGAAGCACAATATGTGATGGCTTTTAGTTTGGATATGTTACGCACTGGTGACTGTGTGTATGTATGCAGGTGTGTGCGTGAGGGCGGTCCTGTACAGTCATTTCCTGCCCTATAAGGTGGCGATGTCTTTGTTTTTACCGGTCAATATATCGCAAGACTCTGTCGCAGTTTGTTTTAATTGTAGAGAGCGAAGTAGTTTGGAGATTTGATCTATCTGCAGCATATTGCGTAGGGATCTAGTTGGGCAGGGTAGGGCTTGGATTCTGGATTCACGCCTCACGTGATGATGGAGGGTAGAAAATCAAACAAACAGAGCTTCGATAGCACAGAAACATGGGTAACATTCGATAGTACCGTATTGCCTTCTCTGGGAGGTGACTTGTCTTGTTCATTTCTGCATGCTGCTCCGTATATTTCTGGCTGTTGCATTCATTTGTATTTAATATGACCAACATGGCGTTTTCCCTGGAGATGTAGATGGCGCCTTGCGAAGCAAGTGAAGCACGGGCCCGGTGCAAAATTAAAAGTCATTTCAGTCAACACAGAAGCTATCCGAGTATCTTTAAACTTTTGACGAGGGTGTAGGAGAATCGATGGTGCAATGTTAGCGCACTGGCAATTCAACCCAAAGGGCAATTCGTATGTGGGGTGCGCACACGCCCCTTTGGTTTGCGAGCCGGGCAGTAGGTCAATGTGTTGTATCGTCTGCTGGGGTCGAGTTTTTTTTATTGCTCCAGCTGAAGGGAGAAGGGCCGGCGGCAAAATGGGGGGGGATATTAATGTGGCGCCGAGGGTTTTTTCCCCCCCAAGCGCACGGTGAGGAATCGCCGAAGAAGCGGAGACGGGGTGTACTCCGTACATAGTTATAATGAAGGAGGAAAACTTTCAAATAAGCCCGTCCAAGCGGCAGAGCTTACGTGTGGGTGTGGTCGTCGGTTGTTCGGCGCGGCAAAGAGATAGCCTGACCGGGCGGTTTCTCCGTCGTATCGTATGTACATCTTTTTCGTATCCTGGGTATGGGGAGACGCGTGGCGAGATTGGACGAAATGGCATGACGATGGGATGGGCTCGCTGGTGGCAGGCGAGGGGGGATGGCATCACGTGGGGCGTACATGAAACGCCGCCCCGTAAGGCTGGCAAGCTGGGTAGCGACGGCGGCAGATGTGGCGGCACCTGCCGCCAAATTTGGGCGCGGCACGTAACGCACAAATCGTCTGGTAGAATAATCAATCCCATTTGGTCCCAGGCGAAGAGAGCAGGCAACGAACGTGCTGGGAATAACCGAGCGTTCAAGACGAGAGACGTGTTTCTTTTTTACAGCCCTGGTTTTCGGAACGACGGCATCTAGGAACTGGAGCTTCTTTGAGAACAACTCGACTGTGCCGCCCCCCGCCATCACTTTTCTGAAAATTTCAACGGGGCACATTTCGACTTGTATCACGGCGCAACTCATTGTATTAACCAGCATACCAAAGCACGAACCCCTGGCAGATTTCTCTTGTATTGGGTAGCCAGTCTGAAAAGACGAGAAAAACCGACGAGCTGGATCCCCCAAACGACCGTGAGCCGCTCCGCCAATGGGATAATTTCGGCCACCAGCTTGACGACCAAGAACTGCACCAGCTGAAAAATAGCATCGCCGAAATGGCTCTCAGTCGGATTGAAGGCCAGGATAACCTCTACGTAGGCGGGTATGTACTGTATAGTCACACTTCCATGTCCGCTGTGTACACCACCACCACCACCATATTTTGCTATTCGACACGGAAATAACGTCACATCACTAACAGACTCTGTTTGCAGAATCTGGGCTCTTCGCCGCTCAGATATTCTCTCAGAAAAAGGTATTACACACGTTCTATCAGTGGTAGGGTTCAGCCCGGACAGTCTGAAAAACTTCAAAGACGAGCCGTGGTCCGAGTATGGCAAGCAATTTCATCATTTACTCATTGATATAGACGACCTGGATGAGTCAAATCTGCTCGAAAAACTGCCAAAGGCGGTCAAATTCATTGACGAGGGATTGAGGGGGCCGAGAAACAGGAATGCGAGTTCAGCTTCAGATCATGCCGAGAGTCAAGGTGGCACGGCCCGAGATGGGAGCGGGGAGAGTGGCATCGTGGGCGAAGGGCTGGAGAGACTGAAAATATCCAGTCCCAATTCCACGGCTGAAAGCACGGGTGCGGTGTCACAAGCAGGCGGTGTGTTTGTCCATTGCGCCGCGGGAAAGTCTCGCTCCGTGTCGATTGTGGTCGCGTATTTGCTCTGGCGGTATCCGAACAGGTTCGATGCCAACGTCGTACCGGCCTCGGCGTATGGCAACGTCAGCAGAAAGGAGAACTCTGGTGCTTCAGCAGCCCATTCCTCGAACCAGAGCGCAGGCAGAAGCAGGTCACGCAAGGAGACGGCGGTGGAAGCAGTCGAATTGGCACTGGGGTTAATCCGACGAACGCGACCGATGGCAGAGCCCAACGACGGCTTCATGCAGCAGCTGGCACTTTGGTGGGAGATGGGCTGCCCGGACGATGTGGAGATGCATCCTCTCTATCAGCGCTGGGTGTATAAGCGTGAAGTCGAGGAACATGTCGCTGTAGGCCAGGCGCCCAGCCGACTCCGATTCGAGGACGAAGAGCCCTCGGCCACGGCCACGGCCACTCGAGCTGCTGCTGCTGCTGCCGCCGGAGGAGGAGGAGACACCGAGCTGATGCTGCGATGCAAAAAGTGCAGAAGGACACTTGCTACGGCGCCCTTTATCAACAAGCATGTCGCCTCTGGGTCGTCAAAGACCTTTGACCCGCGGCAGCCATGCCCGCACTACTTTGTCGAGCCACTGAGCTGGATGCGACGAGAGCTAGAAAAGGGCGAGCTCAACGGCCGACTGAGCTGCCCGAATGAACGGTGCGGTGCTGCCGTCGGACGCTACGACTGGAAGGGTCTCCGGTGTGCCTGTGGCGGATGGGTCACCCCAGGGTTGTCTCTGCAGAGAGCTAGAGTTGACGAGGAGATGAGAAGGAATCATGGGGCCATGGGCCAAGGACAAGGCCCGGGGCTGAACGAGGTTGCGAGAAATATGGGCATTCGGATGCCTCCCGGGTCAGGGAGGGATGGCGGCAACTTGTGAAAAAAAAAAAAAACATCGACATAAAGGGGGAAACGCGGCATCTAGCCATGTGCCTTAGTGGAATCAAACACAAAGGAAAAACCAACAACAAATGGTCAACTAGACGATGTCGTGGTGGCACAACATTTTGGGTGCTGGCAATAACGAAATTCGGTGGGAAATCAAGACGCCCCAAACCATGACAGGACAAATCAGCTACTAGGTTCCTAGTCACTCTTTGCGTCGAATTTTTTGCTCCGGAAAAGCCTCCACCATGCAAGTCCCTTTCTTTGCCATGACTGCCATCTAACCGGTGTGCTCCATCTCTTGTCAGAGCCGCAGGCAGAGACACACGAGGAGCTTTGTCCTGTGGTGCCAAGAACAAGAGGGCTTGTAGGGCCACAAGGTTCCGCATTTGGCGCTGCCATCATAACTCGCTAATTTGTCCAATCGTGCTGCCTGTATATATACATGTACATGTATAGTATATTGTATACATATGTGCGCACGGCCTTTTTTCCTCTTCTCTTAATTCCGGCATGTTAAGATGGCTTCAAGGATAGCTTTGGGGCTGAGGTGTAGGCCCCCCGTCTTATCATAGCACTGCCAGAGCGAGGCTGAGCGTATACTTCTATTTCGAGTAACGCAAGTCTTTTTTCTTATTTTTTTCTTCCAAAGTACACGCAACTCGGATCTCTTAGTTTCAGAGCTTGATGCTTTGCGCGGATAATATTCCAAACGTGGTTATATGACGGGGATTTCAACTTCGGCTGCGGCCCGGCCACTAGGCTGCCAGGGGAGCAAACAGACGTGTCCACTACTAATTTACGTCGTGTTCACCGATTTACCGCCCATTTGATATGGGAACAAGGCTGCCGTGGGTGTGGATGCTATTTCAAGGTCTCGCGAGATTCATCCGGTCCCTGTGCAGGCTCCGCCGTCGCAATCCGGCCCACGTTCCAGGCGCAATAAAGAGGCGTCAGTCGAAGACGGCTTTAATGTCACGTCCAGGCTCTATACATCGTCCACCAAACCAAGCCTTCGGTGTCGGGGCCG